TCATTGAGAAGAAAAAGTTCAAACTCAACTCTCTCTCTACCATGCTGCAAAGCTGAAGAAAAGGTACATTATTATTAGTACCCGACAACAGTGAAATGTGGACCTAGGTTGTGTGTGAAGGGACACTCAGATTTTATGTTCTCTTGGCAGGACAAGCACAACTGCAAGCAGCCTTTAGTTTTAGTTGCTTTGAATAGTTAAATGAGATATGGACTTCTCCCTTTTCCATCAAGCACAAACCATAAGAGAACTAGAATTTAGAATCCAAATAGTGTAAACATGAACATCTCAGTGTGTGTTCATCTTGCTTTTTTCTGTTCTCCGTGTTCTGTGAGCTCCCTACTTACAAGCTGAATGCTCAGTGATTTCCTTTTTGTCTTAATACCCCCTCCAGAAGAATCAGCAAATCTCAAACTTTTCCACTTTAGAACCACTCAAAAAAAAAAAACCCAAGTGGAGCTGGGGCCACTCTGGCTGCATTCTCGGGCAAGTTTTGCTTTGAGATAAAATGGCTGCCACTATGCCTGAAAGCAGAGGCCAGCGCACAAAATGGTTGCCACTATGCCTGAAAGCATAGCTCCAAGGAAGCTTTTGGGCCATGGAGGGGCGATGTGGGGAGGGTGTGCTGTCTCGTGTAGCCCAAAAGCTCTCTTGGGGGCCGGAGGGGCCCAGTTCCACTCCAGAGCACTGTCAGGGAGGGTGGGGCTGAGTAGGGAAGCAGAGCTCTGTCCCTGGCCATCCAATCAGGCCGGCAGGTTCCACACCTGGCCCTATCCTGAGCGGTGCCGAGTTGGGGTGCATCAACAGGCCCCCCAGCACTTTCGGGGGCCACATGCCCCCCTACCAGTCATCTGTGTCAGAGGGCATATTAAGAACCGAGCCAGCATCCTGCTGTCGAAGCCTCTTCGAATTTCTAACAGTGTCCCTGTCTAAATCTCTATTAAAAGATGCCATCATCAAGTGCATACAGTTTGATTTTGGAAGACACTCAGCCAGCCCTTTGCATGTAGCAGAGCTTACTGGCTGTGTCCCATATCTTGTAAAACCCAAACAGTCATTGTCTACTCTTCCAACTCACCCTAGAAGGGGTACGGAGTTGGTCCAGTGTTGCGTACAAGTCACAGGCCTTTTCTGGACAGCTTGTTAAACTGTAACATTGCAATGCAGTTTCACTGCTACAGACAACCACTGTGTTTTAAAGCACTGCTATATCACACATGCTGAGATGCCAAGCCACGTCAACTGTAGTAAACTGGACCACAAGTCACTTTCATTGAAAGGAATGCCTCTCCCACCAAAACACAAAACTTCAGAGAATCTAGATTACTACTAAAGAGAGATTAAATACAATAGCAGACAATACCACCTGTATGGTGCAAGAAACAGGGACACTTAATCCAGCTGAAAAACCTGTTAAAATTTACAAGATTTTGGAACAACTTCTGGAGATAATTCTCTGCCTGACACATTTTTACTAAAGACCTACTAGCCAGAAGCAAATATAGAAAAGTAAAGGGGTGGGAAGGTCCTATCCAGGAGCAGTGCCCAGCTGCAGTCACACTACCCATCAAGAAGGGAGAGAATGCCAATAGTGCTCATCTTGGAACCTGCTGAAGTGCTAGTTTGTCTCCTGTACACCTCTGCTTAGCAATACCCTCTAAACATGAAGCCCCACTCTTTATAAAGAAAAGCAACATTTTTATTCCTTACTATTCTTAGCCTTCTGACTAGCACTAGAAGGTGTTCAGCCTCTATTTATTTATTTAGCTTCTTACTCCTCAGCACATAACTAGCATTTATCAATGTTCAGGACAGTAGCTACAGCAGCATAAAATTTCCAAGATTAGGCAATCAGTTAAATTTTTGCCTCAAAAACCCATAGGCACCAAAGCCATCAGAATCCTTTGCTTGGAGAGTCGAAAGCTGTGTCTATGCTACCATCTTTTGGTGTGTATGCATGTGCACAGTAAGTCTTTCACCATTGCAGTTCCACTAGTGATTGCAAATTTGGGAGCCTAAGCATAGAAAGGATATAAAACTACTTTTTTAACACTAAAAATGAAGTCAGATTTTCAGAATATAATTTGTGTCTCGTGTACTCTGCAGAGAGCTCGCTCTCTTCTTTATTTCCAGATGCTGTTTCATTTAATGTACTTCTAGCCAACTTAATAACTCTCCTAAAATGCTTTTCCATGCAAGCATTTCCCTTAGTTTCCAAGGGAGAAGGAGTGGGGATATTTTTCATGTTCATGATTAAGAGGGAAGAGCATTTTGCAGAAAGTCATGAACTGCAGAGGGATTTGGTAACTCCTGATTCAGAGACAATCATAAAAGATGCTTGCATGGTAGCCATATTATTGCTTCCATAATTTTGCACCAGTAGAAATGTTTTCCCCTACCCAAACAAAAGGAGTTTGATCATCTCTGAAAATGGCTAAGAACTATCAGCTACTAGATAAATCAATCAGCTACTAGATCAAAGCACCAAAAAAGCTCCACACTAAAGTGGCCAATTTATACAGATGTCAGGCAAGCTGAGTCCAACTAATGTGCTGCCTCTTCTGGGCATGTGCTAGACTTGGCATGGAAGCACACAGAGTTTAAAATAAAGCACCATTCTGAGGGGGGGTTTTAACATCTGCAAGCAGCCTATGTTTCTTAGGGGATAGAACAGATCTTGCAGATGATGCCCCTTAGTCCATCAGGAAAAACGCACTCAAGCAACCTTTCTAAAACACTGCTATACTTTTTAAACCACTGCTATATTTAATACCAGTATTTCATGTTCAGTTTAACATTTGAAAGCTAATGATGCAGGATCTACACTATAAAGTCTTGCTAGTTTACCTGACAACCCCTACAACAGATATAGCAAAACCCCTGGAGTAGACATAGTATGCCAGAGAAAAACTGCTTTTGTCAGCTTTATAAGATGTTGGTTTGAGAGGTGGTGTAGCTATGACAGCAGAAACTCCCTCTATCAGCTATATCTCTACCAATAGGCTTTGTCAACATAACTATGTAGGCAGAGGGTCTATTTTCAGGAACCTAAGATTGCTTATAATGGGTAATAAATTATCCTCTCTGTTTTCATGTAAAAATACAGCTGCAGCACTCAAGGTTTCATCCCGCTATTTGTATCAAACACATGAATAAGTTAAATTAAACCAACAGCAGATGACTCTCCAGATAAATCTATTGTATTCAGTCCAATAAGTTAAGAAAAATTTAAGAACCCAAATTCAGACACAAACTGTCCCATTATTTGTTTGTAACAAGTTTCTATACAATCAAGAGCCACTCTACACTAGGGGTACATACAGACATTAGGGGAGGTGAGGAGGAGGTTAGATCATGTTAAAAAGGGCCGACCAATCTAACTTAGTTCAGCCAGGTGTGGACCTTACACACACTGCAAAAGAAGAATTGCTTTAGTATAGCGGTCTCCAACCTTTTTATGGTGAAGATCACTTTTTGGAACTAAAGGTCACCCCAGGATCTACCACTCCCCCACACCTAATTCCACTTCTGTGCACTGAGCCATGCCCGCCCAGCAGCCAGTGGAATGTGATGTTGGGCCCTGGCCTGACCACGTCTGGTCTGGAAGTCTCTGCACTCCAGGGGCACGTGGGAGGGTCTTCCACCACTGCACACAGCCTGGCGAAGGCCCCGGGGGTCTGTGCCCCGCCACCTGTGCTCGGGGTGAGGTGGCCGCTTCTATGGACTGCCCACTGCACCCTGAGCACAGGTGGGGGAGCGGGGCATGGGCCCTCAGGGCCTCTGCCAAGCTGTGCCCAGTGACAGGGTCTGCCTCCCCTCCACGTTTCTCGATGACCAGAATTTCCCAGACCCAGGTGGGCCAGGGCCACCCCCATGTGAGTCCCCTCTGCTGAGCTGAACTGTGCCCACATGTGGACAGCTGCAGCGGGACTCGAGGCACAACAGCAGCAGCCTCTGCTGCCTTCACCCCTGCAGAGATGGGGAAGGAGCCCCCTGCATCCCTGGAGGAGCCCCTCCAGGCTCCAATCCTCCCACCAACCAGCCAGGCTGGGGCCCCACTTACCTTCCCCTGCTCCTGGCTGGGCCACACAGTCAGTTGCTCACCGTGGGGGCCTTGATCTGGCCCCCGCCCCTTCCCTCCCCCACAGATTGACCTGCTGAGGATGGGGACAGCAGGTATACATATGCCTGCATGCCCAGCTGTCCCGCATTCCAGGATCTACCAAAAGAGACTCCAGGATCTACCTGTAGATCAAGACCCCCAGGTTGGTGACCACTCTTTATTTTTCTGTAGTCAAAAAAGGTGAGAACATAGTAACAATCAATTTCAAAGTTTTAGAGAAAATTGAGCATAAACTGCCAGAACATACTAAATTTGGGTAAAAATTGGAGGGAAAAGAACAAAAGAGGAATAGACAGAAAACAAATTCCTGAGCTGCTTACAGACATAAAAAAGAAAAAAGTAGTGCTTTACTCTAAACTTGGTACTCCCCCACGCTGAGCCCAGCACATGCCAGAAGAGTTATTGCATTAGTCAGACCCAGCTTGCTCAATATCTGTATAGATCTGGCACTTTAGAGGGGATTTTTGGCACTTTTATCTAATAGCCAATTGAACTGCTTTTAAATAAAAGCATCAAAAAGCCCTGTCAAAGCGCCTGATCTATACAGGCGCTGTGGGGCCAGGCTGAAGTAACGTGCTACTTCTTCTGGTAAAGTGTGTTTTTTTTGTTTTGTTTTCCTTTTTTAAATGTCTGCAAGCAGCCTGGTGTCTGAAAGCTTTTGACTTTGCTTTTTAGCAAATTACAGAGGTGGTTAGCAAAGACCCAGGGGATAGCAGTTGCTAATTACATTTAAACATAATCACCTCCACACCATTTTAGTAATACAGTTTAGAAACGTTTACATCCTGAAAGAGAAAGAATGGAACAAATGAGAAAGAGCGGGATATACAGAGTCATTGGCATGGAGGGAATAGCGTCTGGGATATCAGGTACTCACAGGGCCCCTGCTATGTAGGAAAGATGAGGCGTTGCTGACAGTTCTGGGAATAAGAGTGGGATAGAGAGGATGCAAGGTGCCTCTCGTCTGGTAGAAAGTGTCCCAATTTTTTTTCCCTTGCAACCCCTCTTTGAGGGATCTCAGATCTACTTTCTGTCTGAGCCTGAGCATAATAATTGAATTTGTTAAGTGCCACAACCTCATTTAGGGAACACAGTTCTAGAATGTGTCCATGTGCTTAGCCTTACACAAAAACAACAAAAGAGATTAGTTCCCTTTATCTTTTCCTTTGTCCTTCTTGTCTGCTGTGTCTCAAGACAGGATACTGTTTCTTATTATATATTTTACAGGCCCCAGTACAACAAAGCCCGGGCTTTCGGCGATAACCTTTATATTTATAACAAAGAAAAGAAAGGAAAAAGTTAGGCTGGGCATTTGTCAAATCAATACGTAAAAGGGACCTGGAATTGTTTCCCTCCTGAAAAGTGTTTTGCCTTGGAAGTAAAAGTCTGATTTATCCAGGTTTCCCCAGCAGGCTCCCTATTGTTAGCTGGTTAAATATTGCCATTGGAAAACAAACAAAACTTCGCTACTTAAGAGGGGAAGTGATGTTTAAGTATAAATGCTATGCTTTATTTGGTTAATAACTGTTTAGATTAAGTGGGGGAGATTTTTTTTTTAATGCAAACACCCCATCCCATTGACAGAATATAGGTAAACCAACTTAAAACAAGCCAGATTTGACATTTCAGGCATTTCTAAAGTAAGTAGGGTGGCAAGGAAGGGATGTTATGGGATGGGAAGGGGGAGAACAGATACAAATTTCAGGCCATCTTGTGCCTCAAAGGAAGGCACAAATTCTTTTTTTTTCTCTTATGGAGACAACACATCAGTTACAAAGCTATTTGAGCACACAACGCCACAATAGAGATGCTATTCACCTCCATTAGGGAAGTTTGAGGTTTCCACTTGCATTCACCTCCCTCACAGAACAAGAGGTCAGGTCAGACTCCCAATGGGAGAAGGCAGGGTAGACTTGCCCCTTATAAACTAACCAAAGTAGTCAGTGCATCTGACAAAGTGAGTTTGGGCCCACAAAACCTTGGGCTATATTTATCTGCTTTGGTTAATCTATAATAGGCAAATCTACAGATCTAAAGAGAAAGCCCTGGTGGTAGGATGACCTGTCTGTAATTCTGGTAGGGAAAGACGTAGCTAACCAGGTTAGTCTGAAGTCAAGCAGAAGGCAGGCTAGATTTGTACCTTATAGACTAACCAAAGTAAACAGATTAGATCAGAATAGATTATGAGATCAAATCAGATTGAGAATCTAGTTTAATCTAGCCTCATAATCTAATCTGACCTCTTAGACTAGCTCTAGTCTAATTTAATCCAGTCTAAAAATCAGATTAGATTAAGAGATGATATTAAATTAGATCATCATCGCAGGTTAGATTAAGAGACTAGACTGGATTAAAATGGGATTAAGGTATGTTAAAAAAATCAGATTAGATCAGAGGTGGGCAATTATTTTGGCTAGAGGATTACTTAGGCATTTTTAGTGAGTTGCCACAGGCAGGGCCAGCACCTGCACCCCACAACAGCTCACTAAAACTCCCTAACTGGCTCCTGCATGTGGCCGGGAGGCTGGAATGGGGCTACAGGGAGGTGGGGAGCAGCACCTGGAAGCGGAACAAGCAAGCAGGACCACGGCTGGGATTAGGATTGCAAAAAAGTGACAGCAGAGGGCCCAGGGCCAAACCACAATCCACTCCCCACACACCCCTGCAACGGGGCACTGATTCTGCAGGCAGAGGCATGCAGGGAACAGATGGGGACTAGCATGCAGGGTGTCCATGGGGACTAGCCAGGGCCCACATGGGCAGGACATGCAGCCAGGAGGATGGGATGGGGCCATGCGGAGCTGCATCTGGGAGTAGGATGGCGGGGGTGGGGCCGGGCCAGGGATCAGGATTGTGGGGTGGTGACAGCATGGGGCTGGGACCTGGGGCAGTGCCATAATCTGCTCCCCACATGCCCCTGCACATGGAAAAGGAGCCCATTACAGAGATGTGCAGGCAGCAGATTTGTAGCTCTGCCCCAGGCCCTTGCGCTGTCACTGCCCCACAATCCTGATCCTAATCCCCGGCCACGCTTGCCTGTTCCACTCCTAGACACGGCTCCCCACCCGCCCACGGCCCTCTCTCATCTGCCCAGCCATGCACCCTGCCCAGGCGGATCCGTCCCTTGGTCGTGGGTGCAGAGTCCCGGGGCAGTGGGGCTGGAACTGGCAGCTGGAAGGAACCACCACTGGGACTACCAGGAAACAATTTGGCCACTGCGCCGCCCCCGCCCTGCTGCATGCCCAGGGCAGTGCAACCAGCCGCACATGCCATGGCCTGGGTTGCCCCTGGTGCCTGGTCCAGACACGGCCAAGGGACCTGCTGCAGCCTGGATAAAATGTCTTGGAAGGCTGTATTTTGCCCACCCCTGAGTTAGATTTGGACACGGTATTAAGGTAGATTGAGAGGTCAGATTTGATGGATAGATTTCTAGGGTCGGAGGGACCTATTAGATCATGGAGCCCAACTCCCTGCTCTGGGCAGGAAAGAGCGCTGAGATCAAGTAACCCTAGCCAGGTACCTGTCTAATCTCCTTTTAAACACCTCCACGGTAGGGGAAAGCACCAGCACCACCGATTAGATGAAGAGATGGGATAGAGGTAGATGTCGGGATTCAAACAGATGAAGAGGGCAGATTAAAGGAGGAGACAGCCTCCCAGGGCTTCCCCTTTAAGGCTGCCGATTTGCCTCTTACAGACGAGCCCTAGCGCCCAAGGGCTGTGGGCCCAAACTCGCTTCACCTCGTGTGCCCACCCTTCGGTTAGTGGACAAGGGGCAAATCTCCCTGGAGATGAGACCAGCGGGCTCCAGGTCCCTCCCGACCCACCGGGGCTCCGGCCTTGCCCTTCCCTAGGGAGCAGCTGTTGCCAGCGCCCTTGACCGGCCTCACGGGGGGCTCTCGCCGCCGCAGACACGGGCCACTAAGCCTGGCCTTTCCTCCCGGGCGCGGGCCTCGCTCTCCCCGGGGCGCAGGGCGGGAGCCCGGGGTGCATGTGGGGTGAGCGACGAACCAGGCCCGGTTACCTGCTCCGCCGCTGCTACAGGTTTCAATCTGCCGCCTTCCTTCCCGCCTCTGCCCGAGGCCGCCCCGGCTCCTCCCGGCGGCAGCAGGGCCCGGAAGCGCGGCGGCCTGCGCGCCCCTAGCGGCGGGTGCGGGCA